CATCCCTTTAGGCTGCAGCCCAGAAGGATGGCTCTGGCATTTGGCAGCGAGAGACAGGTGTGGTACTGTCCAGTGTCCTCTTCACTGATATTGCTGGTGAAAATCTTGTTCCAATTGATTTCCAATTGTTATGCTGCCTGTTATTATTCTTAGGTGGTGGCAGAGGGGGGGCCTCACCCCCGGTCCAGTGTCACTTTCACTGTGAGTGACAGCCATGTTGCTGTGGTGACGGAGGAGGGGCTTGTGCGTGGTGTTGCCGTGGGGACGGTGCATGTGCGTGGTGTGCTTCAGACTGTGCAGCAGGACACTGGAGTTGTAACCATCTTCTCAGAGGTCACTCTCTGTTACTGTCTCTGTCATTTCACTGTTTTACTCTTTCTCTCTGTCCATCTCTGTCTGTCTGTAAGACAATCTCTCTGTCCTCCAGGATGAGGTGGAGGTGGAGGTGTTCAACCTGACATCAGTGAGGGTCCAGGCTCCCCTTGACCGTCTTCCTGTAGGTGCAGAGGTGAGATCCTGTCGCTCTCCTCTCCCGAGCAGGCGTCCTGTCTCTCTCCTGTCCCGAGGAGGTGCGCAGGCGTCCTGTCTCTCTCCTCTCCCGAGGAGGCGCGCAGGCGTCCTGTCTCTCTCGTCTCCCGAGCAGGCGTCCTGTCGCTCTCCTCTCCCGAGCAGGCGTCCTGTCGCTCTCCTCTCCCGCGCAGGCGTCCTGTCTCTATCCTCTCCCGAGCAGGCACGCAGGCGTCCTGTCTCTCTCCTCTCCCGAGCAGGCGCGCAGGCGTCCTGTCTCTCTCCTCTCCCGAGCAGGCGTCCTGTCTCTCTCCTCTCCCGAGCTGGCGCGCAGGCGTCCTGTCTCTCTCCTCTCCCGAGCAGGCGCGCAGGTGTCCTGTCTCTCTCCTCTCCCGAGCAGGCGCGCAGGCGTCTTTTCTCTCTTCTCTCCCGAGCAGGCGTCCTGTCTCTCTCCTCTCCCGAGCAGGCGCGCAGGCGTCCTGTCTCTCTCCTCTCCCGAGCGGGCGTCCTGTCGCTCTCCCCTGCCTATTTCCTGACCAGTCTCTGTCTTATAGATGCCTGTGTATGTGATGGGCGGTAGTAGCTCTCAGACTCCCCTGTCATTTGCGGGAACGGAGGGCAGATGGAGTTTCCAGTGGGTGCTGGACAAGCCGGGCGTGCTGGAGGTGGAGCCACGCCATGCACAGGTCACTGCGCCTCTCCGAGCGGTTCAGTAAAACCTCGTTCTGGCGCCCTGCCTCTGTGTGACTCTGTGCGCTGCTCTCTCAGACAGCGGTCCGAGTCTCACCTGGCCAGCGCTTCTCTGTGCTGGTGCGAGCCGTGTCGGCCGGCTGGGCCAGCCTCAGGGTCACTGCTGTCCTGGTCAGCGCAGCCGGAGAGGAGGCAGAGCTCAGTGACGAGATACGGATCACGGTAGGTGTGTGTTGAACACCGGGCTGGTTTCACCCACACTCGGTTCTGAAGCTCCTCTTGATGATTGGTTCTGTGTGTGTGCGCAGGTGTTTGATGAAGCCCAGCCTGTCGCCGGACCCTCCCGAGTCATTCTCATGTCACCCTTCTCCCAGCACAGGCTGCAGACTACACGGTGAGCACCCCAAAGCTGACTAATTCTAATAATAATTATTCCTTGTAATATTAGTGTAATATTATTAGGAGGCCATGATGGGTAGAGGCCAGGGGCAAATCTGGCCAGGACGCTGGGGTAACACCCCAACTCTTTTCGAGAAACACCCTGGGATTTTTAATGAGAGTCAGGATCTCAGTTTTACGTCTCATCTGAAGGACGGCACCTTTTTTACAGCATGGTATCCCCATCACTGTACTGGGGCATTGTTGTACTGAGCTCCAGGTGGGCTGCCAGCTGCAGGGTGATGTAGCTGCTGGTTATATACTAGCTAATACCTCTTAGACCACCCTTAAATGCCCCAATGTAGCCTTATACTCCCCTTACAGCACTAATGGACAGTACTGTGCTGTGTACGTCACAGGGACGGAGTGAGCCCCCTTCAGTATGAGGTGTGTCAGTGCAGGGGGGACGCGGGCCTGGTCAGTGTGGACCGCCAGGGCCTCGTGCGGTCAGGCTCAGCCACGGGGTCGGCTGTCCTGGAGATCATCGTCATGGAGCCCTGTGGGGTCAATCAGACCATCCTGCTTATCGTCAAGGTACTGCACCTACGAGCCGGACCGGACCGGACAGGCACAGAGCTGAGCTTCGTTCCGGGTGAATCCCTGTTGTCTGTGTTCCAGGTGTCTCCAGTGTGCTTTGTACGGTTGACTGTGGATTTGGGGGTTCACAGTTCAGGGGAGGAGGGGCTCCCAGCGTTCCCCCTGGGCGCGCGCCTCTCTTTCCGGGTGCTGCTGTACGACAGCACGGGGCAGCGCTTCGACGCCCACGATGCTCAGCTGCGGTTCATGCCCAGCAGGTACCCCCTCGGTCTGCCTCACTGCCCCTTCCCTCTCTGCCATCCTGTCTGCTCTCTCTCCCTTGTCCTCTTGTCTCTGCCCGCTCCCTTCTTGAATCCACTGTGCTTCTTTACACCGAGGCTGGCGGGTGTGTGGAACAGGCTGCTCTCGCTCTCCCTGTCTGTCCTGCAGAGACGACCTGATCCAGATCAGTGTGGGCCCGCAGAGCCAGCTGTTCTGGGCGCAGCCGGTGTCCCCCGGACTGACTGTGCTGGGGGTGTGTGACCCCCGCAGCCCCGCCCTGTGTGACTACACCCCCCTCCTGGTCCTGCACGCCCTGTCGCCCCCTCCGCACTCGCCTCTGCGCCCCGGACACTTCGTCTGCTTCTCCACCCCGCTGAGAGACAGCCAGGGTACCCCCACCCCTCTCGACTTCTCTGTCCTTGCTTTCGCGGTCCTGCTCGTCGTCGTGACTCTGCAGGGCCTGTCCTGTCGTGGGCTGAGTGGCTAATGCAGACCCGTGTGGCTCTGGGCACCTGCTGAGGAAACTGCAGGCCCTCCTGAGGGGTGATCGAGTTCTCTGGTATTACTGGGCTGTTCGTCAGCAGGATACTGTCCACCCACCTGTCTCTGCCGTGCTCAGCGTCACCCTTGGTGTACCTCGGTCGTCTCACCCTCGCCCCAACTCTTTCTTTTTCACCTCCCTCCCTCCCCTGCACTCTCGCAGGGCGCCCAGGCTGGTGGGAGGTGTCATCCAATCAGACGCTGCACATCGACCCTGCTACGGGGGCGGCCCTCGCTAAGCATGCTGGGACAGTGGTGGTGTACTACAGACTGGAGGGTGAGCAACAGGCACTGAGAGAGGTGAGAAAGAGGGGGTGGAATGATAGTCCTGAGTTGTGTATATACAGTATAGTGG